CCCCAAAACCCCAAAACCCCAAAACCCCAAAACCCCGCAAGAGCTCTGAATTATTGATTTTTTATAATAAGATGAATAAAAAGCTAAACCCAAGAATAAGCTCTATGAGCCAGAGAGAGCTACTTGACCGATCTTGTATTTCACTGTTTTGAAAAATGACACTTGTTTTAATATTATTAAAAATTGTAATGCCAATGCCTTGCAAGGAAGGAACAACTATTCCAGACACTGAATACAACATCAGAAATTCATTTGGAAATTATGGCTCCTCAGGATACTTAGCCTCATTTAAAAGTGATTCAGGCTATTTATATCATGCAGGAACAGCCGATTTAGATGCGATTTTAATTAAGGAAGATTCTACAGACACCCTACATTGGGTAAAAGTGTTTCCTTCTTTCATCTATTCTAAGAATGGGTTCATAGTATCTCCAGCTGAGGACAATATCTTCATAGTAGAGTCAGGTAGCCAAGATCGAGCGCTGATTCTCCAGATTAGTCCTACAGACGGTACCTTAACCCAGACTGTTCAGACGTAAGTAAAGCTTTCAGTTCCCTATTAACCCTGAAAATAGTGCTAGCTATTCAACAAAGGGCTTTCCCAGTGCCGATATCAAAACCCAGATGGATCCTTCAGGGACGACCCTATACCTTACCTTGACCAACCACGATAATTATCCTGAAATCTGCCGATGGGTGGTGACCGATTATGAACTTCAGTGAACCCAAGTTTTTGATGCGAGGAAAATTGACATTTTGTTGTATGTCAATGAGTATTATAGTTATGCTGCAGCTGAAGTTAATGATTTTGTAAGAGTTTGGCCTGGATTTAGAAGATTTTAGTGGAATTTTTCAAGAATTTATAGTACAAAATTTGGATTTTAGGCTAGTTATAGGGATTTTAGAGTGAAAGTGAAGTTTTGGGATTTTAACTCTTGCCCGAAAATTCTGGTGGAAGAGAATGATTTTTTGAAAATTTGTTCAACTTTTGATAACTGAAATTTTTAGGAAATGGTAATGATTGATTGGCACGAATCTGAGGAAATATGGCATAGAGCTTTTAGATGTGGTGTGGATGAAGGGTGTCATTTTGGGCCAGGGGTCGGTCTGGAGTATGATTCAGCTATATACTCTTTATTTAACTTTGGTGCCTCGTCAAGGATTGTGTTGTAAGTTAAGATTATCGTCATCTTCTAATTCTGATATAGGCTTGCACATCACATATCTACCGGAGAGAGAATTAGCGATATCTGGATGGGGAATAGTGGGAATACTCTTTTAGATTCTATTGTCTTTCATGATGTGATTTATATCCTCTCTCTGAAGTTCAGCACAACTCTGGTACTGATGCAATATAATATCATTGAAGAAGCAATTGGATCAAGTATGGAATTTGAAGCCTCTCATGCAACTTTTATTAAAAACACCGGTGGAAAAGTGTAAGGAATTGTCTCATTTTAGGCTCTTTTTGGTTGGAAAAATAAATGATAAAGCATGGAAATTAGGCATGAAAATGAGTATCTTATTTTTCTAAAAAATTTAGGTGATACTTCTGACCTTAATGTTGCTAGTTTAAGTTTAGAAGCTATGAATAACCATACAGCTGAGCTAGCTAATATGGAAGGTAAGTTTTAAATGCATCTATAGTTATAATTATTATAGATTCCATGAGTATTAGGCTAATCGAGCATCATTCAAGTGATTATTTTGCTAATGGTAAGCTGATTAATCTCCTTCAAGTTCGGAATAACTTAATTTTCCACAAATCTTAACAATCAAGCTTTGTTTAGAATTGGAAGAATATGCTAGTAAAATGATTCCTATTAAGAAAGCTAAAATATTAACATAAAACTAGAATAATGCTCACAATTGTTTATTCTCAAATAGCTTTTACATTATCAGAACTTGTTAAGCATTGGTTTGAAACTTTCTTCGAAATAAACCTCACTCATCTTGAATCTTATAGAATTTTCGCCATACGACCCAATGAATACAAATTACATTCCTGATATCGAGAACAGCTGGCAAACCAATATAAATTCAATTACTTCAGAATATTGGATGACTGTGTCTTCAGCTGAAACTTTTGATATTTATGCTTATTGCACATGAACCACTACTCCTGAAAGAACAGATATTGATTATTCTTTACTTACAGAAAAGGATGATTCGCTATTTAATTGGCTTTCCTTGAATGAAGCCTCAAGAACGTTTCAAGGGACAGCTCCCAGAGTAAGAAACAAGGTCACTTTCCCTTTCAACATTACTGCTCAATGGGTGACTAATCCTGCTGGTGTTTCTATTCAGAAAGTGTTTATTACAGTAAATCCTAGGAAAATTACAGGATCTGTGCAAGCATTACTCATTTCAGTTGTGACATCCTCGATCGTGCTTGTTGTTGCTAGTGGAATAGCTGCTTCAATCTTAGCAATGGTGCAGGGAACTAGCTTTTCCAGCTTTTACTTGGTACTCAATCAGATCAAGATTATACTATTCTTGTTGATCATCGATCCGTTTGTACCAGAAGTAATTTCTGAATATTTAGAGTCCCAAAGCTTCAGTATGTTGACTCTTAATTTTATTTCATCGAGGAAAATACCTGGGATCAGAGATGCAGTCGAGCTTGTGGACACAGTACAGAGTGACCCAGCTTTGAGATCGCTGAGTTATGAGTCAGAATCAGCGATTCTGAACCAACTTGGGTTTATTACAACTTTAGCTCTTATATCTCTATTTCATTTCTTGCTTAGATTTGTGTTCACTTGAGGTAGTAAGGATTCTGATAGAAGGAGTAAATGTTGCAAGCACTGGCACAACATTCGGAAGAAAATAATCAATTTTATCTTCTATGCTTTATACTTTAGACTCTTATTGCAAGCTCATGAATCAATGGTGATTTCTTCAATATCTGAGGTATACATCATGAATTTAGATGGATTTTTGGGTGTCATCTCTTTTGTGATTGCTTGCGTTATTTTATTATGGACAATTGCTCTATGAGTTATCACTTTCTACTGATTTTGGGTGAATCAGAACAACTTTGACCCAGAAATTAAGTTCTTTTATATGGAAACGTTTGCAGACATAAGAAATTCAAGATATGCACGAATTTACACTTCAGCAATGTTGTCAAGAATGTCATTTTTTGTAATCATGATCATTTGTCTCAAGAATGTCAGCAGGAATTTAGTATATCCTCCTATTTTAAGTAAGAGAGAATCATAAATATAGCATTGCAATGAATATATCTAGGCTCAATTATACGTCTTCGGCCTTTCGAGGCTGCTCTCAATAACATTATAGAGATACTAAACGAAGTATTGATCATAATCATAAGTATTATATTATACATCCTCTACACCGCAGAAAGATGGGATTCCTTCTTGACTCCATTCCTGACCCTTTTATTCATAAACAGTGTGATTACTTGACTCATCCTCATCAGTAAGTCTCTACTTCACACATAGTTGGTACTATCATTGCTCTTGTTTCGTTCATGAAAAAGAAATTTGCCACTAAGAAGGGAGAAACAAAGGATTCGATTCAGCATGCTGACGGCCAGGGTTGTTCAGAATTCAAGTCTTCTGACCAACTCCCTTCTGTAAAGATGCGAAGTAATATATAGGATAAAGGACTCGTTGATGAATGGGCATTTAATATATACAAAGAAGCTACCACTCAGAAGCATAAGAAAATTAAGTTAAAGTCAATGGGCTCTGGAGGTAAGGAATAATTTGGATAATTTGTAGCAACATTGGATGAGAAGCCCAAGAAATTGAGGAAACAAGATTCTAAAGGGCTGGTTGAATAAATATTTGAAATTAATATTGGTAGTAGTATCTTATGAGTGGGGTTTTGGGGTTTTGGGGTTTTGGGGTTTTGGGG